GGCTTCCAGTTTACATTTATAAATAAATTTTAATAACTTCAAACGAATATAAAGCAAACTATCTATTTTGTGAACTCACTAGCTTGTCTTCATTCTAGTTTAACTCATTATCGCAAATTAACAGTTAGTTTATATATACCCGCCTTGATTCTTTTACATCGACTGACTAATTATGTGTCAAAAATACTTTATTATATTAATTCTCCTCATCGTTAACAATATGTGATACATATAATTATCATCTTAAACATCCAGTTACTTAATATTCTCCTTCCTCTTTGTTTTCCTTTTCTCTTCCGCTTCCTTCCTTGTCTATCCTTTTCATTGTTTCCAGACCTCTGCCTTCTTCCCCTAAACTTTTCTATCCGCAATTCATTTTTTGTCACTTCACACTCTTTTAATATATGGAATATACTTTCCTCCTTTACCATGCACTCTGCAACTCCTGTCTTCGACCTTTCTCCAATACAGGCTCCCTTTCGTCTCACTTTCACATTTGTATTTGGCTATCAGACTTCTGTCTTTCCGCTTCCTTTTTCCTTCCAGATCTTTTGGTAATTTCTCTGTCATTATGCTTTTATATTTTATACAAGTGTATCTAGACTCATTTATCTTCACTCTTCTTTCTTCCTTCTCCTTATTCTTTATTTTCTTCACTGAGCCCTCAGCTATACTCCTATCTCCACTCTCTCTTCCCAACTTCCTGTTCACATTTTCCTTCTTTTCTTCTGCCCTCTTCCTTTAATGTTCGCTCCTTTTCTAAATCCTTTATGCATTGCTGTATATCAGCTTCTTCTTTGTACTTCTTATTTTTTCTTTGTATTTGATTGTTCGTTTTCGTTTTTATTTCTCTTATTTTCGTTTCTTCCTATATATGTAGTTCGGTGTCCTCCAATCCTAAAATCGACTTCGCGTATTTTCTTTTTATTTTGTCCAATCTCCTATCCTCTAGCCAGCCCCACATCTCTGTTCCGTATAACGCAATACTTTTCACCAGTGAATCAAAACATCTTTATCCTGAAACATCTTCTCCTGAAATCATTTTGAAATAATCTCTCTCCACGTCCTTTTCATTGCTGCTATTGTTTTCTCCTTTCTCTAATATGCTTTTCTGCCCCTTCATTTTTCGACAGAGTATATTCCAAGTATTTCATTTCTTTGATTTCTTTTATTCTCTTCTACCCATTTCCATGTTCTTTTCTTCATTCCGCCTCTTCTTTTCTCGAACATCATTACTTTGGATTTTTCCGGACTCAGTTTAAGGCCTTTTCTTCCCAAAAAGTTTTTAAATCTCTTCTACATTTCCTTCAGCTCTGATTTTCTCAGCCAGCAGCACTACATACATAATTGACCATCAACATATATAATTGACTAACGTTTTTCCTTTCTTATTATCAATGCACACACATGTGTATATGTTAAATAGAGAACTAAGGAATTATCCCTGTCTAAGACCTTTGTCCGTCCAGAATTCTTCTGATCTTCTGTCATCTATTTTACCACATTTCTTTATAATTTTGCATAATTCTCAATCTCAGGTTCTCTTCTGTATCTCCATTCTCTTCATTGACTCATTTAGCTTTTTTCTATTTACATTGTCAAATGCCGCTTTCAAATCAGTAAAGAAGGTGAATATTTTTTCTCTCTTTCTGCCCTTCCTTCAGCTTATCAGTTACTTCTTTCTCTAATCTTTCATTTAATATGCTCGCGTAGATTTAATGAAACATATATTAAAATATTATATGTTAAATATTATATATTAAAGTAGTTCTGTTTTGCAACTTTAATTATAAATTTTTTAATTTTTTGTGACAAGACAGAACTATTTGGTAAATATGGATGGTAATAATGGATCGTATTCAGTGCTGAAAAATTTATATGAACCGATCCTACGTAAAAAAATTATTTATTGAACAATACTATCACTGATACAGAGAAAATTGCAATAATAATAAAATCTTATCGCGATACTGTATCTATAATTTTTATTGTTTTTCGATAACCTGACAAAGGTCATTTATTGTGTCAGGCCGATTAGTTTGTCAAACACAATAACTCTCTAGCGACAATGTAATTAGAAAATCATCCAAGAGGATAAACATGATGATTCGCTCAATTACGTTTCTTATTTTTAGATAATCTATCGAGGAAATGTCTATACACATAACGATAATCTCTGAATTTTATAGAAAATTTACATTCCCAGATTAACCTTTAATTTCAGAAATTATTAAAAACGCTACCATAAATAAGATTCTTGCTAGGAATTGATTTTTTCATTACTAAAAAATAGAATAATTTCTTTTGCAATAAATGCTTTCATTAGTAAAAATTTCATTTTAATTGCATCTTTAATATCATCCTTTAATACCATCCATCTGTAAGAAATTAATTGCAAAGAATTAATATTTATTTAAATTCTTTAGATTTGAATTAATTATTCAATTAATATGCATCATTAATGAAATATTAATATATGCAGGTTACTGATACTACGTTAAAAACAATACAGATAAATGAATCCATGTCTAAAGATTTTACGTAATATCACATAATCTGTCATAGAAATCAGCGTTATTAATAGAATGTTACAAATATAGTTTCGCTTATATTGCGTAACGGCTAAAGAATGCAGTGATAATCCTTCCTTATTAAGAATTTCTACATACAGAAAACAAGAAGCGTAAATACCTATTTTATCGCGTAATAATATTTGTGATAGTAATAAGATAGACGTCGGCGAATGAGAATACCTCGCCGTAATGTATGTATGCGTTCCAACGCGACAAACAATGGCTTTCATATGAAAACTATTGAGTAAAGTATATATAGCTTTGTGCAGGTATAAGTTTATATTATTACGCTCTACGTGCTATTTGAAAAGAAGAGAAAAAATAACGTGCTTAATTCCGTCTACCTATTATACTTCACAAGTATTATATTTATATACTACCTATTATACTTCACAGGTATAACAGATAGTCACGGAGATAGGCACGTAAACTTTTCTCTTTTTTTAAAAAAAAAAAAGAAAGAATATCCGTAATAGCACAGATCTCCAAGGAACGTTCCAAAGAACATTCAGAGGATCTCCATGATCCTCTTTTTAAAAAAAAGATAGAATATTATCATTTGAAGAAAGATCACGAAGATTAAAACAAATGTCAGGCGATGATTGATGAATAACGGGTGGATCTATTTGTCTACAATTTTACATGCGCACACTTAAAATATTCCTGCATACTTTTGTCAAATAGCAGGCAATAGAAAGAACGTACAGAGGAATTTACCATAAATCGCGTTTGTCTCTTCTTTTCGCAGATTCCTACACAAACGAACGTTTTAAAAAAAATGAGGACATTGAAGAATTCAGATAGCAACTATATATTTAGATCAATTTTCAACGTGAAAAAACTATCTGATGACATAGATTATCGCTCGGATTATCGCTTTGAAATCATAAGATTGAAATCTTTCGGTATATATTCTATGTCATTTGTGAATCCCAAAAAACTCGCGGCCGCCGATTTCTTCTACACTAAAAAGAAAGATACAGTAAAGTGCCAAATTATTTTGTCAAACTGGATAGCCGAGGATAATCCTAAGACCGAGCATCAACGTTGGTCTGGAAAATGTAAATTCGTCCGGAATGTTCCTTGTGGAAATATATCAATCGAGGCAGATTCTAGCACGATTTCTAAATTATCCAAACGAGTAGATACTTGCGGACTTTATGGCCTCAAGTACATGCCGTTTTCTGATCCGGACAATGATCCGCAGGTTGAAAGTGTTATGAATTCTGACTCAGATCGCTCCGAACTTTCTGATCTGAATGAAGATATTGACATTACGGTCTTCTGGGATGCCGAAACGAATGCTTACTTCATGGCCAAGCTCAGCGACGTGTTAGGCTCGAAACAGCCTACATACGCTTCCTATGAGCGTAGATTACGCTCTTTCGCAATATGTACCTGCGATACGATATGTGAGAAAAAAGAAGAATTGGCTAAAGCTGGTTTCTTTTACCTTAGCGGCCTTTTTGAACCTTCTGATCAAACGATGTGTTATTACTGTGGTAAAAGTCTGAGAGCTTGGGAACGGACGGATGATCCTGTGGAAGAGCATATTAAGTGGTACCCCCAATGCAAATTTATCAAGAAGATATTAGCAAAGAACTTAAAGGAGAAGAGCGAATTGTCCACGGAACGGACAGATCACGAGAGTGAAACTCCTACAAATGCTATGACTAATGTTTGTTAATTTATTCTTGATAAGCGAATTGTCCTTTTTCAAATCTGACTGAAGCTTGACGATAAGGCTGCATTACAATAAAGAAGCATAAAACATATTTACATGCAAAATATTGTGCTCATGTTAGACAATAAGTATGAGAATCATTTAGTTGTAACAGAGTTATATATAAATTTTTTTATAATAAAGATATATTTAGACATGTTTAGTCATCTGATATGCTTAAGAATAATTTACTACAATTTATTAGAAGTCAATCGAAAAGTTTCATCTGTTTAGCGGCGAGTAGCTGTAGAACTGTCGATAACTCTAATATCTAAGCTTAATTTTTTTAGTTTTACTATTTGTCAATAAAAATCAATTGAATAAATTGACCTAATAGTTGAATAAACAATGCTTAATAAGATGACTCATTAGCGGATCAGTACTATACATATGTATTGTAATATAAAATTCAAAATTGTGTATGTATTTCAGATGTAATATTTTCATATAATAAATGTTTATATATGTTTATTTAAGTATTTATTTCATCATGAGATGCATGTGATAAATTTTATTAATTTATATTTGTTGTATAACATCAGTATTATAATAAATAATGTCATATTACAGTGAATAATTCTTATATTTATTTAATGCAAATACATAATATCTCGTCATGTATTATATTACAAATTGATAATTGCATTGCATTATTATAAAAAAACCGATGTGATACGAGTTATAATCAAAATATAGATTCTATAAGAAAAGAACCAATTTTTTTTATATGAATATGTTAACGGATAAGTATATTAATAAATTAGTTAGTTATTGATTATTATTGATTATTAGATTAGGATTATTTTTATTTATGATTTATTTATGATTGCATAGCTGATTCATAAAATTGTGTGTATTATTTATTTAAAACGCAATCTATTTATTTTCCTTCTCAAGATAGATTAAAATAAATATAAATTAAAGACCAAGATAATGATAAGAGTTCCAAGAAATACAAATGAAAAGCAGATATAAGTTTACAATAAGATATGAAGATAAGAATTTTAATCTACAACATCACTTACTAATAAGCGAACCTCGCGAAGTATCAAATTCTGATTTTAATGAAACTTTGTGAACTTGTAGCTCACATAAAGAGATGAATTTAGAAAATATCAGTTGAAGCGGAAAAACGGATTGAACGGATGAAATCATTCCTTACGTATACAGTAATTTTTAGCTTTTTCCGTTATATCTCGAAAATTATTCGAGGTATCAAAAAATGTTTTATACAAAAGTTTTAATAAAATTATCTCTGTTCATCCACATCAATAATATTTTTTAAAAATTAAAATTAATTTCAAATTAAAAAAAATTTTTATTTAAAAAAAAATTTTTTTTTAATTTGAAAAAAATGTTTATTAGAAATATTGATGTAAATGAATAGAGGTAATTTTGTTGTAAAACTTTTGTATTTTTTGATATCTCGAATAGTTTTCGAAATATAACGGAAAAAGCTGAAAAAACTGCTATACACATAAAGGGTGATTTCATCATATCAAACCATTTTTTTGCTGATATTTTTCAACTATTTTCTAAATTCATCTTTTTATGTGAGCTACAAGTTCACAAAGTTTTATTAAAATCAGAATTTGACATCTCGCGAGAGATGTCTTCCCTTGTAAGTACAGTTAATTGACGTACACAAATGTATGTACACGTACACGTAAACTTTTTTTAAATTTCTTTAAAAAAAATCATCAAAGTACGCATTTCTTAGAAA